TATCTGGCACTCCGAGCCCAGACTACAGATGGCAGATCCTATCTAGCCTATCTACAATGCCGCTGATGACGTCAACAGCTCCCCGAAGTACGAGCAGATCTCGGTCAATGCCATTCGCCTCAAGAACCAGGTATGTCTCTCGTATCACTCACAACCTCGATCCCCAACTCACAGATGCCACATGCACCCAAGAACCACCATCCGCCCCATCCAGCATACAGCAGCGCAGCTCGGCTATGGCTGCCTGCTCATTCCAGCTCGCCCGTGAGCGCGTGAGTGCTGGCCAGCGTTAGCGCAGAATCACTTGCGCAGCATCCAGCCAGTGCCCGAATGTCCAATGTGTGGGCAGGCCCTTCCCTATATTGAAGTGGCCTGCTGCTGCGTGCAGTAATGTGGTACTGGGCCTCGGCCCAGAAGCTTCCGGTAGGCCCCACGAGGCTGAGCCTCAGTTCAAAGGAAACAGGCCCAGGGCCTGTGGTGGTTACCAGCGCCCAACTGCCCTCAGCCTTTGTTCGGTCCATGTTGTGTATCCGGCCCAGGGCCTGCCTCAGTTACATACGATGAAAGGCAGCCTGGGCCTGGGCGCTCTCAACCAACTGGCGCTGCGCAACTGCCTGAATTTCCCCAGTTGCGTGGTGACCCCAAAAATGGCCTGTAGGCCTCAGTCGAGCCTGCCTTCACTTAGGGCGGCCGACTGTGCTGAAAATAGGGCCCAGTAGGGCATATCGAGGCCTTGTGCCTCGCAGATGCCACAGTCTGATGTATATTGACTTGCCGGTGGAAGAGGAACCGAACTCATGCCCCTCGGAATATAACGGAGTCAGCAACATAAGGTCCAATTTCAAAAGTGAAAAAAAGAAAAAAAAGAGAAAAAAGAAAAACAACAGATTGAAGGTGCTGAAAAAGCTTGCAACAATTTGCAATTACGCACCAGTTCAGGATCCAGCCAACTGAAAATGGTGGCTGAATACAAGCAGGCCACGGAAAGGTTCAGGCCTACTGGACCCAAGGGTGTTCCCAAGGGTACATCGTATCCAACTTGGGCACCCACACTGCGAATGCAACTTTAACTGCACCACTCTACGTTGGCGTTTGAGCAATCTGACACAGGGAAGAGACTTATGTCAGGTCGGTTGCCAGTTGTCAACTGCACTCTGCCGTGTAGCTGCTGCACCTGCTGACGTAGCTGATGCACATTCTTCAGACCAATGGCCAGATCGTAGACCTGCTGCTGCATAGTGTTAGAGCAAGGACCAGGGGCTTGCTGGACACCTTCATCTGAGCACTGGCCCCTCTCCTGCATCATCTACTTCTGGCTTCCTTGCAGATCGAAGATATGCTCTTGCTTGAAGATGATAGTTGTCACCAACTTCCACTCCTCGTCTCGCTCCTTGTCTGCGAATCTGTCCTCCAGGGCCTGCAGAAGCCCGTTGTAGGGCCTTACCCTGTTAGACTTTCGAGCCTGAGTCGATCCCGCTGCGGGTCCCAGTTGGCTCTGCTCCGCCCGATTTCATGCTCAGGGCACGGAGCGTTCGTCACAGGGGCACCCCCACCTAGTGTTTTGCGATGGATGGGGATGGGTCATTTTGCGAGAGAGCTTCGACATTGGGGATGTAGCTCCGCCCTCTCGCCCGATGGTCGACTCGCCAAAACATTCCGTCGGCCGTGATTTTTCTTGATGCTTTGAGGTGTTATCATGCAATTGCTCCTTCCAATGCTTATGCAGTCCAGGGGGGTTATTGAAAGTCTTTCTTCCTTTATGCGCAGGCCAAGTGTCGTCCTTGGGCCACGCATGCATTCACTAAGTCAGGAGTCCTCAGAACCTTGTTCAGCGTGCGGCCGCCCTTCGGCTCGGGCCCGCGAACCATGTCTCGCGGTCCCCCTACGCCTCCCTAGGGCTTTGCCTGCTCCCCTCTTTTGTCATCCCACCCGTGACTTTCGTTGTCGCGTACATCAAGCATGTCTCTCTTTGTCCAGCTTTTGCATTTTCCTATACACCCCTTAGTCTTTTCGGGGCCCCATCCCGCATGCATGCCCGAATTTTTCATTTTAGTCTAGGCGACCTTCTCGGCCGCCTTATGTCTTTGCCATTTGCTATAGCCGATTTTGCTTTACACAAACATGCTCAAGCAGTCATTCAAGGACAAGGGTTAAGTCCACAACCCGTTTGTACTTATTCCCACTTTCTCTTTGCCGCTCGGCATTCCCGGGACCCACTCCCGCTCAACGTCTCTTTAAGCTACTTACCTGCACATTCAACACAATTTATGCAAGGCATCCCCCACATGGGGTCAACACATAATCCCTCCCACAAGCCTAAGTTCATTTTCCTTAGCCCTTTGTGCTTTCCTTTTCCTTTCTCGGTCCAGGCCAATCTTGTCCCTTAGTCATGCAGTCGGGGTGATGGTTGAGTCAACTGACCTTGACAAAAGTACCAACTCTTTCTAGTCCCTCTTTCGGACTTGCCTCCTTTCAATTACTCAAGCGTCTTCTCCCTTTCTTTCTTGGCGGCACAAGGGACCAGCAGCCCGCCCCTTGCCCACTTTCTCCACCAAGTAAGGGCAGATTCCTTTCACCGTTCGTTTCCTGACAATGTAACAAGTGAGTGGGGGAAGGTTAGTTATACGCCATCCGCCTGTTTCTTGGCTTTGGGAATCAAAGCCATCTTTTTGAGTGCAGTACGCAAAATGTACCAAGTACTCGGTTGGCCTGTTGTCGTAGCGTGTTGGGAGATGATGTCGCCGACCTCTTGGAAACCGTCCATAGAGGGTGGGTCTTGCAATCGTTGCCCGGGAAAATCGTTATGTTCTGCTGGCGTGTAAATAGCCAACTTGGAGCAATGAAAGACCGGGTAGATGGGCAAGTGGGCGGGCACCTGAATGGTGAAGGAAGGTCCTTCGGGTGCATCCCCAACGAGTGCCACGATTGGCCAGGGCCCCATCCATTTCGGGAGGAGCTTGAGAGAGATATCTTGTTCATGGCTGAACTCCACGGTGGAAACCCAAACGAGATCGTCGACACGGAATGGATAAGGAAGATGCTGGCGATTGGCCTGCTGGCTCATGCGTTGCTGCGTCTTAGCCATTTGGTCGCGTGCCTTGACAAGTAGCTCTTGCATCCGACGCAAGAAAAAAATATGGTCGTCGCTCTTGGCCGTTCGTGGAATGATTGTGTCCAACGGAGAAGTGATCGGCGAGCCGTGCTCGAACTCAAAGGGCGACATCCCGATAGCCGGGGGGATGGACGAGCTGTATGCCAACTCGACAGCCGACAGCCGCTCAACCCAATCCTTTTCGTCGGGACGGATGAGAGTGCGAAGGAGAACCTGTGCGGTTTGATGCGCCCTCTCCGTTTGGCCATCGGTTTGGGGGTGGCGAGTCGAACTTGGCTTGAGAGATGAGCCCCATCGTTTGATGAGCGCCAACCAAAAATCGGACATGAACCGAGTGTTGCGGTCGCAAACGATTTCCTTGGGGTAACCCTTGGTTCGAATCCAACCGGCGTAAAGAACTTCGGCCAACACCGATGCCTTGGCATGATAGCGGCAAGGCAAAAACATGGCGAACTTGGTGAGTCGGTCGACGACCGAGAATCCCATCCACACCGGTCTTGTGCTTGGGGAACAGCCCGGTAATGTCCATGGCAATCGCTTCCCTTCGACGCAAGGGGACTGATAATGGACGCAACTTGTCGTACGGACGATGGTTGCGGGATTTGCAGCGTCGGCAAACCTCGCATGACTCGCAATAGCGTGTGACGTCGCCGAGAAGGCCGGGCCACCAAAATCGCTAGCAAAGTCGGCCAATCGTGCGATTGACTCCAAAGTGTCCGGTGGCGGGAGCATCGTGGAACTCGCCAAGAAGCCGAGTACGCAAGTGAGAGTCACTTGGTACGCAAAAAAGGTCCTTTGCTCGCGTGTGGACAAGCAAGTACCCCTCTTGGATCCGGTAGTGAGAAGGCGCTGGATTAGGAGAGGATCAATTTGCATACTTGTCGCGAAACTCGGGGTCGGCTTGGTAGCCGCGGATGAAGTTGTCTCGCAGGTCGTCGCTAATCTCGAAGGTCGAATGGACTGCGGTACAATGATCCGGACGTTGTGAAAGAGCATCCGCAAAACGGTTAGACTCCCCCGGAATGCGATCGAGAAAGAAGTCGAATTGGTCGATGAAAGTCATCCAACGGACGATGGTGCTATTGACGATGTCCTGGGTCTTGTAGAAGACCAACGGGTTGTTGTCCGTTACCCATCGGAATTGACTTCAACCAAGGAGGAAGTGTCGCGACCACTTGAGTGCGTGGACGAAGGCAAGGATATCCTTCTTGCGTGCATCATCAACGGAGTGCACGACGGGCACTTTCTTGTTGAAGTACTCGACCGGGTGCTAGTCCACGCCATCATGTTGTTCGAGGACGGCACCAATGCCATAGCCGGACGCATCCGTAGTGACGTGCGTAGGCAATAGCGGATGATATATGTGCAAGACCTCCACAGATAATAGCGCGGCTTTGAGAGCCAAAAATGATTCCCGCGCATCCTCTCCGAAGTCAAACGGTCGATCCTCGCACTGAAGCTTGGTCAAGTGGGATGCGATCTTCGAGTATCCCTTAATGAAACGTTAGTAGTAGCCGGCAAGGCCAAGGAACGAACGGACATCCGTGATGTTCCGCGGCTCCGGCCACTCTTGGATGGCTTGAATCTTGTTCGATAACGGACTGATGCTCTCCGATGTGATAAAATGGCCCAAGTATTCCAGCTCTTGCCGGACAAATTCGCACTTGTCGCGGTTGGCTTGGTACTTGGCGCGGCGGAGCGTCTCCAAGACTCGTCGAAGGTGCTCAAGATGATCCTCCAATGTCCGACTATAGACGAGAATGTCGTCTAAGTAGACCAGCACGAACCAGTCCAACATTGCACGGAACTCGTTGGTCATTGCCACTTGAAAGGTCGTCGGGGCGTTGGTGAGGCCAACGGGCATGACCACCACTCAAAATGCCCATACCGCGTCTTGAACGCGGATTTATAGCGATCGTTCGGTCGGATCGAGATCTGATGATATCCCGACTTCAAATCCAACTTAGAAAAATGCTTCGCGCCACCCAATCGCTCAAGAAGATCATCGATACGAGGAAGAGGCGCCGCATTCTTGACGGTTTGCGCGTTGAGCTTGCGGTAGTCGATGCACAAACGTAGATCCTTGTTCTTCTTCTGTACGAAGAGAACTGGCGCTCCGTATGGGGAGCTACTAGGGTGGATCCAGCCCTTGTCCAACAAGTCATCGAGTTGCGCACGGAGGACCGTAAGCTCCTCCTCGCTCATGCGATAAATGCAACCTTTCGGTGGCACGACACCGACCTCAAGAATGATCTCGTGAGAGATCGGCCGATCTGGCACCACACCGGTAGGTGACTCGAAGATGTCAGCGAACTCGTTAAGCAACCGCACCACACGGGGGTCCGAAGACAAGTCCGTGGGTGAAGAATCGGCTACCGCGACGGTCCGTAGGAAGCATAGGCCTATCTCGTCGGGCTGCTCGTAAGCGCAAGTAGTCGGGAACGACTTGGCTGTCACCACTCGGCATCGGATAGAAGGGTGCGGAAGAGGAATAGTGCATGGCACTTCGGCGCCGAAAGCATCGCGGACGGTAAGAGTCCGCCAGTGGAAGTTGACCGTGTGATCCGCACTTGCAAGCCAAGGCATTCCCAAAATAACGTCGAAGTCCGTGTCCAAAATGTCGAACGTCACCGGTTCGCATGCATGAGGTGCGAAATACACTGGTACGACCTCGATGTAGCGGTCGATAAGTTGCTGCGTCCTTCCATCCGCCAACTTGATCGCCGTCGGGTTTGCCTTCCTTCGAACTTGTGTGCCAAGGCCAACCCTTTGCATAAAGGCTTGGCTCATGAAATTGCGCGACGTGCCGCTATCCAGCAAAGTGTTGCAGGACGCTTGCCCAACTTGGATGCGGACATAGAGGAGCGGTGCGTTGTTCTCATCGTACCGCTGCTTGTGAAACTCACGGGCCACCTTGGTAACATACATAAGGATGTCCCCCTCCGCGACTTCGTCATTTGTCGGCGGAGTTGGTGGTGCATAAAAGGCTAAGTATGTGTGAAGATGAGCGTATAGAGCTGCGCATTGGGGTCCCGACAAGCAGCCCGTGCTCAGGAGAGGAAGCCATGCGAAATCCTCGGACGTGAGCGGGTCCAATACCTCTATGTTGAACTCGTGCGCCGAATCCCGTGAAGAACCACTTGAAGACGATAAGTCGCCGCTGTCGGACGAAGAAGATGCCGCACACACGTCTTGTCCTTGAGCATGAGTACCCAGCGTAGAAACGAGCCAAGCAGCATAGTCCTCATAAGAATATTGAAGAGGAGGACTATCGACTTTCGCGTGTGCCTCGGAACGAAGGGCGGTTACCCGCAAAGCGACCGGTTCCGAAGGCGTCGAGAGTGTCGTCGACTCACTCCCGGCGGTGCTCAGTTTCCCGATTTGCATTTGCCTTTTGACGGGCAGTCCACTGTCTCATGGAGATCGCTGTTGCACCATAGACAATAGCGGAATCTCGTGTGTGCCTTGTACGCTTGTTCGGTGAGACCGTAGTGGGACCATGGGGCTAGAGCTGCTGCACCGGGCCCGGGGATAGATGCGGTGTTTGTCTTCGGCTTGCCGCGTCCTCGGCCTTTGCCCGGGCAGCCACCATCCAAGGCGGCTGCGAGTCTGTCCCCTTCATTGGCAGACACGGCCTCGCTAGATTGGTCGGTTGGCGTTGCCGCCACGGCCACGACCACTTTCGGCCGATGCTGATCTCTGCTCGGGCCTGCCGCAGACGAACGGTGGAGGTTCTTGGCCTCCTTGTTCGTGATAATAATCTGTGCGGCCTTGTCGAAGAGCTCCGCTGTTGTATTCAGGGTGTCCTTGACGTGAGTCAAGGCGTTGCCCAACGCTGGACACGACCTCGAGATGAAGTAGTGTTTGACGACCTTGAAGCCCATTTGAACGTCTGGGACGGATGTCAAGCGTTGGTACTCGGCAATCCAGTCAACACTCGGCAGCGTGCCTTGTTCGAAGGTCATCAACTTGTCCATTGTCTTGATCTCCGGTGGATCTACTTGGAACCGCTTATGCCACACCGCCTTTAGATCATCCCAGCTGATCTTGGTGTACAAGTCGGCAACTACCACCCCGTACTTGGACAAGAGATTGTCCAACCATGCTTGGCACGCGCCTCCCGACCGGGAGTATAAGTATGTGTGATGCTTGTCCTCGCTG